CAATCGGATTCGAACTCATGTCGCCTGCAGGCTGGTGCAGTGCTTCCACCGAGCACGAGCCACCGAATATTGTTAGCTCATTGTGAAAGATTGTATGCGGCGTTTGAAATTAAATCGAAGATGATTCGTATTCGTTGACACTTAAAGGTCGTCTTGGTGAGCCTGTGCATGACGACGGTTGCGCAGCTTCTGTTCAACTGAGCAGAGTAGAAACAAGATTGTTGGGCCTGCTGCGAAGTGAATATCACGAATGGAATGTCGTAGCGTGGCGTTTCAAATAAATGAAAGAGCTGGCGATCTCGGTCTTTCAGCCGACAATTCGTTACCGCAGCCTTACCATTCGAACTCATGACCTTTCAGTGGTGTTGGTGCAGTGCTCTGGGTCCACCGAGCAGAACACATAGTGAATAGCTAACATGTTTTCAGTGAAAGGAATATTGCATGAGTAGCAGTGGCGTTTGAAATAGTGAAGATACATGATTCGGGTATCTTTTGTTGACAATTTAAGCAAAATCGCCCAACAAATACTGACCTACCCACCACCGTGCGATTACTGCTCAGTTGGTTGGAGCACCGCACCGGCAACTTGAGGTCATGGGTTCGAATCCCGGAGTCACCCAATTTGGGCCCTGAGACGATTGCCAAAATTGTCCAACAAAGCGCGAAGATCACACTACGCATTCCAAACACCGCACTGTACAAAACATTCATACGATATCTTTCACGAGAAAAACATGAGCCCAACAATATTGACCTACTCACCACTTGTGTGATTTCATTGCTCAGTTGGTTAGAGTAATCAAAACCGGCACCGCAGAGGTCATGGTTTGAACTCCGTTGAGTCACCTTAATTTTAAGGTCTCTGAGACGATTGCTTAAATTGTCCAACAAAGTGAAGATCATATCTTCTAATTTCAAACACCGCACTGCATAAACATCATACGATATCTCTTTCTACGAGAAAACATGAGCTCCAACAATATTGACCTACTCACCACTGTGTGATTTCACTGTTCAGTTGGTTAGAGCACAGCACCGGCAACCGCAAGAGGTCATGGTTCGAACTCCGCTGAGTCACCTTACCTAAGGTCTCTGAGACGATTGCTTAAATTGTCCAACAAAAGTGCGAAGATCATATCTTCACGCACTCAAACACCGCACTGCATACAAAACATTCATACGATATTCCTTTCACGAGAAAACATGAGCTCAACAATATTGACCTACTCTACCATTGTGTGATTTCTATTGTTTTAGTTACAGTAATTGCACTGGTAATTCGTAGAGGTCGGGTTCGAATCCGAGTCACCCATTCTAAGGCCCCAGACGATTGCTCAAATTGTCCAACAAAAGTGAAGATCATCTTCATTTAACTCAAACACCGCACTGCATAAAACATTCACAATGTATCTTCACGAGAAAACACAGAGCCCAACAATATTGACCCACCACCACTGTGTGATTTCATTGCTCACATTGCATAACTGCAATCAAGCACCGCAGAGGTCATGGGTTCGAACTCCGCCGAGTCACCTTAATTTAAGGTTCTGAGACGATTGCTTAAATTGTCCAACAAAAGTGCGAAGATCATATCTTCATTTAATTTCAAACACCGCACTGCATAAAACATTCATACATCATTATACTTTTGCAAAGATTGCATGTCTGCAAGATCCAATTGCTACTGGTCGTCAATACCACTCACTACGACACGATTTCTTTCAAACCTCTTTGAATAGGTTTGCGCAAAGTATAAGCCCTTGCATGGTTTCATTCTTTACCTTTCACGACTAATGTCATATACTCTTCTGCCTTTACATTATAACAAATCGTTCAACATCTCCGTAGCTTCCAGGACGTTTTGATTGAAAGTATACACCGGCTAAGTACTGGTCAACGTTACCATGACAATGTTCTCGTGATAATAATTTGCAATTAGATGTCACTTTTAACTACCATTATCGACGGGCTCATGTTTTCAGTTACAGGCAGTGTTTTTCTTCTATCGCATTATCTGTTGAAGTTTAATTGTGGCGGGTCCATAGTTTTAACAGTTTTACTTGTGTATCCTGTTTGCAAATGACCCTCAAGATTGAGATCGTTGCGTCCGAAACTTATACCCAAGCGAAACATTTTCTGACGATTATGATTTTTATCCCTTTTGTATTCTTTTTCACGTTTGCTGCTACCGATTCCCATTTTCACAATGGCATGGTCTTAAAACAACTGAAGTCAAAATGCAGTAATATTGAAATTTATATTTTTCTTTTTTCTTTTTGTCAAAGCAATAGACCACTGGCGGTTTTATTTGAATAAAAACACGTGCTCGCTAAGTGACAAACTCGGACAAACATGGCGGAAAGTCATAACAATGACTAATTTGCTATATGAAATAGAAATATTTTTCGCTCTCTTGCAAATATAGCGACGAATCAAACTTAGTCATAGTTGTTGTGCGTCAACGGATATACGATGTGAGTAAGCACAACAACTCGCTACAAGCTAACCACACAAGCCCGACCACAAAGCATGAAAGCACTATAACGCGCTTAGAAAGAACTAAGTCATCCCACTATTACGTGCAGGATATGACGGATAACACTTTAGTTACTATATAAATGCGCGACAAAATATAGAATAGGACATGATATAGAATAGGACAAAATATAAGGAAAATGAAGAAAGTTTACGGAAGAGAAATTCAAAGCTATGAAACTGCCAGAATTGAAAAGTTACGTGCAGAGTAGAGGTATAACCGTAAATAGTTATCTTAGCGGGACTAGTAGCCATTGCATGTGCAGTGGAAAAATGAACATTCCATTGATCCCGCAAGTCAGTAAAGCCGAGGAGCAAGTAAATTTGTTGTTTGACGATCCATGACGTTGAGCTGCCGGATCCATTTACAATTAATGTTTCAAATGATTTTAAAAATTCACCCTGTTCGGCTTGTTTGATATATTTAATCATCTTATATCATTCATCGGAATACGACAAGCAGGGTCTTGCAGCCTATAAGTCGTTCGAGAACTATCGTTTGTTTTACGATGGATACGTTGAGTCTTTGCTAACAGCATACAGGCAAGATGCTGGTGCATGTTTATATAGGCAGGTTAAGCCTGCAATGAAAGAAATGCTCTAAAATGTAAAGACGTTTACAATTTATGGTTTATATTTGAAGGAAACGGGTCTCATCGCGGTAGTGTGCTTGATGCGTATTGCTGTTGTCTTGGTGGTAGAGATGGTGGATGTAAGCATGTATCATCTGCTTTGTATTCTCTTGATGATCTGCTTAATTCTAGAGGAAAGGATAGTGTTACAAGTAAGGAGTGTAAATGTATTTGAAGATCAAGGCCTGATACAGCACCGTGCAAGCTAGAAGATCTTCAAATAAAAAAAGTGGGACTTAAAGATCAAGGAAAGAAAAGAAAAGATGAAGAATACAACCAATACATTGACTATGACCCACGTCCATTTACAGATAAGGGACCCTGTTCACATGAACAACTTGTTATTCTAGTAAAATCAATGGATGAAATAAAGAAGAAACCACCTATACTATCCATTTTGAAGAAAGAAGTGTATGGCATGGATGAAATTCTGGAAAAGAATAAAGAATCATCCAAGCATGGAATAATGGAAAAAAAGATAATACAACACCTGCAAAGCAATCACCAAGCAAATGCAGATGGCTTCTTAGAAAGTCTCCACTTCCCAAAGAAAGAGATTGAGGATATTGCTTCAGTCACTAAAAAGCAATTTCAATGTAGTGAATGGTACACCCATAAAAGAGGATTTATAACTGCCTCAAAAGTTAAGAATATTTACACAAGGCAGATTTCCATTGAGAAACATGAGACGGATGTTTCTTCTCTCGTAAAATTGCTAAGAGAACAAAAAGATATCACGACAATGAGAAAACACCGGGTTGATGATCCTAAAAATCCACTCGATTGGGGACTAAAACATGAACAAAGTCTAGGAAAGCTTACTATAGTGTTCAAGCAAATAAACATAAACAACTTAGTTTAATTTCAAAAGGCTTCGTGATTTTAAAAGATACACCTTTTCTTGGTGCTAGTCCTGATAACATTACAAGTTGTAAGTGTATGCCTAAATGCGATAGTGTTGTAGTGGAATATAAATGTCCGTGGACCCACAAATATCGTGATCCCAAAGAGGCATTCCTGCAGCCTGAGATTGGTGGTAGATGGGAAAATGGCAAATTTTTTCTTCAAGAAAAGTCCAGTTACTTTTACCAAATTCAAGTGCTTATGCATGTTACTGGACTGAAAAAGTGTGATTTGGTAGTCTGGACAACGAGAGGAATTTTTTGCCACCAAGTGACATATGCTCCAGTGTTCTTTCAAAGGATTTCTTTGAAGCTTAAAAAATTTTGGCTTACCAAGGTTGTGATACACATGTTCAAAAAATTCTGCATTTTGAGCAAGGTATCTTCTGAGTGTACAAATGGTAAGCATTTCATTTGAGTGCTACCTTAGCAAATTTACTTAAAGTTAATTTGCAGTAATGTTACTTATGATAGGCTCCACAAAGACAAAGTATGTTGATAAACAAAATCCGGTGAACAAAGATGAAAAAGAGGCTGCTTTTTTATGCAAAACAGGTATCACATATCAAGTATCAAGTGGTTTATTAAGAGCCAGGATGTTTTGTTATTCTCCTCAATTTTTTTCTTAATTTCCTTAGATGATACGGCAAGCATCTTGGAGACAGAAAACAGTGATCCGCCCATGAAGTCTTTTGTTATATTTGGCTTTGATGTGCAACTAGAAGACATAGACAGTCTACAACCAAAGGGACTTATCACAGACACAATCTTCTCTATATTAATGAAGTATATTCTTTCTATGCAATATCGATTGATTTTAAAATAGCAAATAGTTTGATTACACTACAAAAGTAAATTTACTAATGCTAGTGAACTTAATAATTTCATTTCTAGTGATCACTGCTGTGAATACCCCATAGTAGACACTTTATTCTATTCTGTTCTTGTGGGAGATCAAGAACTGAAAGCGAGAACATCAAGCAGGTTTCAGTAATTGACAATGATATTGCACTTATCTTTTAAACATTCTACTTTTATACATTGTATTTAATGTTTGTAGACTAGAAAGAATCCAAACTGCAGAACAATTTTTTAATGCAAAGTTACTTGAAAAAGATTATGTGTTTGTGCCAATCAACAGAAGGTAAAAATGCTTTAGACAACAAATGTAGCATCTTTTGCAAAAAAATGTAAAAACAATTTTTATTCCATTATTTTAGCCTACACTGGTTTTTGGCCATCATTTCACCATGGTAGGAAAAGCAACATTTGCCATATTGCATGTGTTCCTTTAAAGCATGTAATGTTACAATAGTAACCAGTTTCATAGTTAGGCATCTCCTTGTTCTGGACTCTTTAACTTGGGATAAAGAAGACAAGAAATCTACATTTGAATATATCTCACAGTAATTGTTTTTCCATTGCATTATGCCTACTCTCATTGCTATTTTTACTGTTGGCTAAGAATTTTTACTTTTCATTCTGAAGAAATTTGGACTACACCTTTCAAAAGCACAGCATCAAAAGAAAGCATCGTTCTCATCATATGTTAAAAGTGAGTTCTTATCATACCACCAATAAAATATATTGTGCAAATAAATCTTGCTATATGCATTATTTGGTGGGTCCCACAGCAGGAAATCTCTTCAAACCTCCGTGCTGTTTTTGTATTACTTTTTATTAAATACTTTTTAAAGGTAATTATGGAAACTACATGTTTCTTCAAGTTAGAGCCTAATAATAGGAAAGAGGTACTCAATGCAATAACATAGGGAAGAGTGCTTTCTTTTTCAATCTCACAACATTTTTTAGGATATTGAAAAATTTGAGAAATGTCCCAATGATTTCATTCTCATGGAACATAAATGGTTTAGTAACAAGGGTGCAACAATGGAAAGAAATAAATGGCACAGAACTTTGCACACATTGTTTACTCTGCATTTATCTAAGTTTATTAACACAAAGGAATATTTTATTGTATATTTTTTAAAGCTTCTATATACAATGTTTTTAAGGTGATGCAATAATCTGTGGTTGCAAATTAACCAATGCTGCACAGATAGACACAACAGAATCAATATATGGTTTCATTGTTAATGGGATTACACCTTGTAATATACTAAATGACTTCAGTCATTGAATAATTCTTTCAATGTGAATCTTCTTTGTAGCTACTCTCCTTGTCATTGTTGTTGCACCAGTGCCAACATTACCTTTACGAATGTATAAGCTTATAAAACGGTCAGCAAGCTTTCGTATAATTCACACATTTACGACAAAAAACAGTCAACACTTACATTCTCAATACTTTGTATCGCTGAAATAGGGTCTGGGTTATCTACAGTAGGACCATTTTCTCCCACAAAAGGAAGTCTGCAAATATAACTGTCTTTCGTACACACAAATCTGTCACCTCGATGACACGCACGAATCCAGCGCTCTCGTTTGTTGCTATGGTATTTCTCCCCAGGAAAATGTAAAAAAAATACTTTGCTTCTACTTGCGTCTCGTTTTAAACGATCAGGATACCGCGAATCGCTTTTGAAGGTTCCCCAAGCGCACCTCTTCGTCGTAACCATTGTCATAAAATTACTCCGCCACGTATCGTTATTATTATTGCATTATATTTAATCATACGAGTTTACATTGAATTTTGCTATGCTCTATTCATCTCTTGTCCCATTCTATATTTTGTCGTGCATTTATATAATAACTGAAGGAGTGTTCTCCGTCATATCCTGCACGTAATAGTGGGATGACTTAGTTCTTTCTAAGCGCGTTATAGTGCTTTCATGCTTTGTGGTCGGGCTTGTGTGGTTAACTTGTTGCGAGTTGTTGTGCTTACTCACATCGTATATCCGTTGACGCACAAAAACTATGACTAAGTTTGATTCGTCGCTACATTTGCAAGAGAGCGAATAATATTTCTATTTCATATAGCAAATTAGTCATTGTTATGACTTTCCGCCATGTTTGTCCGAGTTTTTCACTTAGCGAGCACGTGTTTTTATTCAAATAAAACCGCCAAAGTGGTCTATTACGTAGTTGATTTGTATTTCAGTTTACAACTACAATCAGCATAGTCAAAGAGATGTTAAACAAAAGGAGGACGTTTTTTCTCCGTGTAAATTAACATTAGTTCTACCCAAGTAGCACTAAACAGTTGGTCAAAATATGTCTTATGAGAGTTCAAAGGTCCACAGTTCTTTAGAAACTGAAAGGCTTCACATATTCCATTCCAGACATGTTCGCGATTAATTGTTTCGACTGCTCGAGCTGCAAAATTGATCCAACAATCTTCCTCAGTCATCATTTCTAAAACGTTTTGATACTCTACCCAAGGATCTGCTTTACTTTCATCCTTTTCAGCTCTTCGTAGCTCTTGAATCTTTTTGCTTATAAAATCGACGAAAGTCAAATTGATAAGATCGCTGTGACTAACTTCTTCAAACTCAACAGTGTCTGCATATATCTGATTAAACATGTGTGCCATATTTTTTGTCTTTTTTCAAAACGTCCAAAAGCAATGCAATAATGAACAATGCAAATAACATTTTTTACGCCGATAGTTCGAGTATATAGTGAATCGTGTAATGAAATACACAATGAGGGCTTTAAGACATTTTATTGGATGCTTTAATAAATTAGATAATATTTCTTGTCAATTGTTTCATTTCCCTTTATTATGATAACCTATCACATTCAACATTCCCCTGCTAAGTTCGTTTCCGGTTTACACTCGCGCCCTGTTTACTTCGTAGGACTGGACACTAATTGACAAGGGTAAGAGCTCCGTTTACTTCCCGGACCATACCTGCAACTACTGAGGCCATACTTTCCTGAAAACTTGTTTTTTAATATTTTATTGAAAATACTGTCATTATTTGTTTTTAAGACAAGAAAAACTACAACAAAATCACCTCCTATAATTTAATATTATATTGACGGAAACAGACGTGTTCAAGTATCTACGTCACAAGTATCAATATGGCGTCGTAAAAAATTCGCAAATAGTACCCGACTTTGGAGGCAAAATTAAGGAACCTATATTTATCTGTTTAAGTCCAGCGAAATGTCATAGTTCTTCAAATAATCCAAATTTTCAATTAAGCTCATAAAAAAGGGGGGCTAAAATTCGTAATATAAGCACTTTAAGTCATTTCACTTACTTGCTAGTCGTTTTTGTAGTCTAGTCGTAACATTTGCACCGAACTTCTTGCAATGCCTTCATTTAATGATTTAACCACCTCTGAATTGTCCACGTTATTGGAAAAGAATGGAGTGGATAATGAAGTCATTGAAAATTTTAAGGTAGTTATTGTAAATATTTATATTTTATGAAAACCTAGAAGAAGACATTGCTAAAATTTTGATATGATGTGGAAAATTTCTCCCAAGTTAGACATAACAGTTATCTTTGAAATATTTTAGGACATTTCTCATATATATAATGCTTTATTCATTGACACCGAGGAAAACAGCTTGTTTTGCGTACGAGACCTACGTTGTTACTCAAAAAAATGCCGATCGAGGGTTAATGATGTAAAAAAATACACTGTTTCACGAGATATCAATCAAGGAATTGTTTTATTACCAATTCTAAAAGAAAAAAAACTATATTTATAACGCAGATAAAGGAAGTAGTTATTTTCCCAAAAATAATATATAAAAAAGAACAATATAAAAACTCTTCGCATATTTCACTGGTGTATTTTGTAAAAATTACCGCCCTTTTCGTAGTCAAGGTCAGTCAGACGTTGACAATGCCAAGGTCGGGCCATTGAGTTCTATAATAACTGGAGCGGCTATCTTTACTGGGGCGAGGTCGCCAAAAAAATGGCGGCCAACGGACGTATTTCCGCTGAAATGATCGCTTTGCAGAAAAATAATATTCTCGACCTCCCCTGGTGTCTATAGTAAATTATAAAGAATTTATCAAAACAACACGATATCACAGAATATGGATATCGTTTGTTCCATATTCTGTGACGATTCTTTTTTGGCATTTCTTTTATAATGCCAACACTTCAATCGTTCAATTGTTGGATGTCGTAGTTTCCACAAAAACGAACATATCGCTTCTTACAGGTGAGATAGTTGCTTGTTTTCTTAGTCCGTCAACGATTGAAAAGCAATTATACATGTACTTGAAAAGCCATAAAATACGTATTAAAGATCGTATTTTTTAAGATTGACTTGAACGCCAAAGATACTGATGTTTCCTGTTTTTGTCTATAAAATTCTGCATACTTTTCTGTCATTTGTTAATGCATGAAATCGTAAATTTACCCATCTATTTGCAAAATAGTTTCCTAAAGCAAAAGACACTGCACACATTTTGCTCTGTATCAAAAATGTGATCTGGTATCAAAAAGAAATGATCAGCCCCAACAGTACCCATGATTTGGAGCAGAGCTTGTTGTGTTCTATTTGCTGACAACATCCAGGGAAGATCAAGGAGTAAAGATGAGTAGAAGATGTTATTGACCAGGCAGAGTCTTAAAAAAATGATAATGCTGTAAAGATAATTGATTTATTGTCTGCCCAATCCAGAGTTATTTAATTTGATCATGGTCAAATTCTATGGATGGAGACAATGGATTCACTAAGGATGCCTTGAATGCTTTGAAGTTAAAGTTCATGAACCAAAGAAAGATGGCAAGAAGGTTGTGTGTGTTTTAATGCTTAATGAAATGTCAATTCACAAACATGTAAAATGGAAGGCCATAAAGTATGTGTCTATGTAAACATTTGTACTGAGATTGATGATGACTCGATGCAGATGTGAAGCATCAAACTGTATAAGCCATTGGGTTTTATGTAACTTAATGTTTAAATCATGTCATATCTTTATCAAAATATTTTAGTTGAGTGTTGTTTCAATGTTACTAATATCTAATGCACTATACTGGAGCATTAAAGTTTCAGTGATGAAACCTTTAAAGTTACTGTACTGTACATTTCTTCATTATCACAGTTTTTGCTTTTAGAAATAGTTTGAGCTTATTTACCTATTAGAGTACAGAATGGAAATTTATCATATGCATTATTGCTGCTTTTTTGAAGAAAAGTTTAACACTTTTCAAAGCTTTTCTACAAATTTTTTTGCTTATTTCTTTTCATGAGATTGATGATATATAGGTAATATAATCCAATAACTTTATAGTTTCTAAAAAGCTTTTAAGCTTCTAGCATAAAAGTACACTATAGGTATTTAATTCATTTGGTTATATTGTCTTGCTATGACATATCTACTTGCACTTCATCATTCTTGTATGAACAAAACACCAGATGTGGATACTCAGAGAACAAAATGCACTACCAACTGCTTATGAAATATATTATTGAGGTGAAAACTGTGTTAATCATTCAAATTGTGCACTTATATTGCAAATATAGGTAAAACAAAACAAAGTGAAAAAGAAGGGTAGAAGTATTAAAACTACAAATGAATTATAAACACCATTGGAACTTGGAAGCATAAGTGTTTTGATGATTATTTGCATTTTGCCCAATTTATATATCAATACAACAAAATCAAAATGTGCTACAACTTTACAAGTATTTGATGCAGTTGCACTTCAGAACATCACAAAAAGGTTACTTAAAGTAATTTCTATACAATATTGTGTGTTTTCATTTACCAAACCTATGCAAACTAGAGTCTTTTTGAAATTTAATATGAAACTCAATTACAGAAAATCCGTAAATATCCAGAGATTTAATATTTACTTTTTTAAAGCAACAAGTAAAAATCCTACAATTGTGGCGAAAAAAGCAATTGCCCATTGCATGAAAAGAAACAAAATAGCAATGATAAAAATAAGCTAACTTCTCTCATGAACCGTGGAGATGAACTATGATATACTTTTTTGTATAGACTAAAGAGTTTAATCGATCAAACAAGTTTGACGCTGGTAAGAAAACGACGCACATCTGCATTCATACATGTGTAGCCGACATATAGCTCTTTCGTCGATAGTTATAAATGCATCCCCTCGTAGGAGTCGATAACTGACAACCACAGTTGACTCGCTTTGTGAATTTAAGGTTTTACCTTGATTTTCATCAAAAAATTGCTTGCCGAATCCCAAATA